GGCCGGTCGCCGGATGAGGTGCAGTCGGCCGAAGCCTGACGAAGGTGGCGAGTATGTCGCCCAAGTCGGTGCTGCGCGCTGCGCCCTCGTCCCCTTTCCGAGGTCGTATCACCCCTCGTCCTGCTCATCATCTGTGTTAATGGAGACCATTCGGAACGTTACATCTGCGCTCTATTTTCCGTACTCCAACCTTGGCAAACGAGGAGGCGATTCAAGCGCAGCAGCGGCGGGATTTTATCAGTATATACTATCACAGGAGATCAGAAAGAAGTGGCGCTAAGGGATATCTACACCACACACTATACGTGATCTTACATGTTCCGCTCGCGATCTGGTCATCTCTATGTGCTCTAAGTTGTATATCTGACATTCTCATTCAGCCCTATGGGGCTTATTTCTGATACATAATGGCATACCATCACACGGGATGGAATATCATGGTACGGTCACGACAATAGAGTGTCGTAGTTCATAAGATGTGTGTAAAGAGAGGTGATGGAAATGACTGTTATCTAGGAGGGAAGAGCGATGGAGGATGGTCAGCAGAATGGCATCAATGAACTAGCTACCGACATTCGCCCAATCAACATCTCCGGTGCTAGCTCCGGGAGCGCGGCAGGCGACGGTCGATAGAGCGGACGAAGTCGTATCGGCTCTGATCAGCTGATCAGCCCAGTTAGACTACAATCTCAGCGAGCGAGGAGCACATACAAGACACAGTCGTACAACTTGTGGCACAACTTGTGTGTATGTTCTCCAGCTTCATTCACCAGCTTCTCCAAGCCGGCGATGAAGACGCCATACGTGCCCGAACCCGACAGATGAGAACGACCCTGCGACTCCCTTCTCGCCGAGCATCTTGACTTCCAAGTCGAAGACTATCAGACGATGGATTCAAACAGGAGACAGAGCGGCACATACTGTAGTATAAACAAGAGCGACAAGGGTATGCGGGAGCTCATACTCACAAGCACCGGAGTGTCGGTTGAGTTTGTATGTACAAGAACGACAGTAGGAGCCTGCCGAAACGGAGTCTTCCTCTTCTTGATCACGTTCTGTATACCAACGATACCACCCTGCGCCTCAAACGGTTTCGCAAGATAAGGTACACGAGCCTATGAATTACGTTTCAGGTGTATACCCGTACAGCGGCACGTGAGAGTGGAGCTCACCCCCGAGCAAGGAAATACGACACCTGAGTCATGGACATAGTTCTTGAGTTTTGCGTTGTACGCCTCGTCGTCGGGTTCCGGGGAGGGTACAGAGCCGGTCGATCCCCGATGACCGTTTCGGCAGACGCCTTCACGAGCTTACAAAACGTAGTAAGCTGGCAGATCCCTGTTCCCTCGTGAGTAAAGAGTAAAGAGCGAAGGCGCAGGTTCTCACCAATGACGTAAGCTGGACGAAATGGTAGGTAGATTTCTCATTCCATGCGAGTAAGATTGTCTCGCCACATAGGTAAGGTCGTTCGCGCCGCAGCAATGAGCGCGGCCTGTACGACGCCAGTTGAATGCGCGGGCAGGCGTCTTTGAGTGTCATATCACCCTCGATGCAGGGATACGACGCATTGATGAAATTCTTTACACGAGGCCATTGTGGCGTGAGGGTGTCATGCGCTTTCCCGATAGGAGGTACAATCTCGATGCTCTGCCCTGGAAGCACGGCGGCGGCGGTAGGAACAGGCTAGGTGGTCGCCATGCCTGCTGGCGAGTTTCGACGGCACAAGTCAAGTGGCCGGCATAAGGGGGGGATCGTTGAATAGCATGAACAGCTGCGGGAGAGCGGGGAAAGGTGAATGACGGTACACGTCTGCCAGGCTTTCCTGCTGCTGTTGCATGTGCGCCGGGAAAACGAGCTGCGAGTACCGCTCTTCCTCCGTAACTTCGCCATCACAGTTCCGGACTCCTCTGACACCGACTGAAGATCTCTGCCGCATAGGCGGCCACCGAACTATATCACTTTTCAACATACAGCCAAGACAAACGTCAGGACATGATTTACTTACGTTCAAGATCGCACCATCTGCGCCGTTGCTATCATATTGAGAGATATCGTCGAAAGATGGTGCCCCGCCGTGGCCGAAGAAATCACCCCACAGCAGATGCCGGCGTGCTCGCGTTCTCCGAGCTGGTCAGCGAAGGCATCTGGCCTTCGGAAGAACGGCGCTGCTCGATGGCCGGCGCTCGACCCCCGTGCCCGCCGTCACTGGCGTGACCAAGTTCTGGCGAAAAATTAATAAACCAGGTCCTGTGCGGGTCGTATCTCGTCGAGCAACGCGACGACCCAGAGAGGCGACCGATACGTTCGAGATACGCGATTCGAGCGGATAGCCTGAAGATCTGCCTCCACCACCTGCTTTCGCAGCGTGACCGTACGCCTGCTGGCCCAGACCAAATCGGAATGTAGTCTTGCGAGACTACAACGGAAGTCCTCGCTTTCAGGAGGCTCGACCAGCGCATTGGGCTCGTTTTCCATGAGTGTGGGCACAGTGACGTCAGAGTGTAATGGCGAGGCAGCGAGGGACATAAGCGGATGAGTGAAAAGAACGACCGTGATTGTAAGGTGACGATTTAATACGACTTGATCCGCGGCACCAGCGGAAACACGCATGTGCGGGCGATCCCAAAGCTCTTCGTCCTCGCCTGTTACGAACACCGGCTCGCTAGTCGGGGAACTACCGGGACCAGCGCCTCCTTAAATTCCACAACGGGCACGACGATTAAGACCGGGCTGGGAGAGCCGAGGAGATTTACTGGCCGAGAGTGGTGCACCGGCGACGCGCTTAGGGATGGTCCCAGACTGTGGGCGCGGACCAGGAGTGAACGCTTGCCTCCACAATGCCCATGACACGTCTTGAGCGGCGCAATATTCAGGGTTGAGCTCATTTAGAATGATACAGAGTGGCGCCAGCCAACGGGTCAGATAATCCGGCTCGTCGAGTCGTCGAGCTTGCCGGCGAATGCGAACCTGTCGAGCAGTCGAGGCGCACGCCGTGAGAAAATGATATCGCTGGTCCCGGCCGAGCTGATCGGGGCGAAGCAAGCGCTACGGTCGAGGCTGTCGCGCTGCCTGCGCCGAATCCAGAATATAGCAGAAGTGAAGAACACCGACTTGGGCACCGGAGTACTTGCGCTGCGCCCATGGCGGCTGTCCGTTGAGGCAGCGAGAGCCAGTCTCGAAGCGCGGCCATATGATCCTGAACGAAATCGGGTAAGTCTTCATACTGCCATATGCGGATAGCGACAACACTTACGCGTCGAGAGAACACGCAGCGAGCACAGCAGTCGAGGCTGCCGTCGCACTGCCTGAGCCAGATCCAGAATAGAGCAGTCGTCGAGCTTGCCGTCCCATGCGAACCTGTCGAGCGGTCGAGGCGCGCGCCTTGAGAACATGATACCGCCGGTCCGGCCGGGCTGATCGGGACGAAGCAAGCGCTACGGTCGAGGCTGCAGCACCGACTTGGGCGACATACTCGCCACCTTCGTCAGGCTTCGGCCGACTGCACCTCATCCGGCGACCGGCCCGATCAAGAATCCGCTAGGCGCCCCTGTCGAGCTCGCGTCGAGCTTGCGCTGCCAGCCAGCCGTAGGAGTGGGGGGAGTATAGGTCTCCTATACTCGACCCAGAGCGCGTAGATGCTCGACGAGGGCGACATACTCGCCACCCTCGTCGCCATCGTAGTCTCAGGCGCCTTGCGCGCACCACCTTTAAGCAGCCCGAGGGTAAGTACTCACAGCGCCTCTCAACAATNNNAGCTGTCACCCCGCCGCCGTACGCAGGGCAAGCGCTACCTCGCGGACAATAGAAATCATCGTCAAGCCCCCGAGATGGTGGTTCAGTGCTATCAAGCAGCACGCGCGCCGCACCTCGGATCGCTGTCGGCATCTGCCGTTTCAGCGTGTAGTATGTAGTCTTCAACGGCGGTGTTTGCCTGGCTCCTATCATCGCGTGTCAAAGCACTCATGATGTATATTCCTCCATGATGCCAGGTCTCGCTTTGTCATGTCTACTGATTCTTCCCTGATCTTACTTTCTCCTGTCGACACCTGCGTTCACGGCGTCGCTCATCGTACAGGAGCATCTTGTAGCCGCCCTTGCCCGATTGTCGTAGTGTTAGGGACTTGGCCCTCAGGTTCCCGGCTCGGCATTGGTCAGAGGAGAGCAAGAGCTCCTATGGACGAGATCGCTCTTCCGGACTGCTGCACTTGTGTACAGGCCAATCTGCGGACTTGGTCTTGCTCATGTATACATTCGCCGCTCACTCCAGACGGTGTCCTTAGTTTTACGATGCTCTCGCTTCCTCCGAATATCGTCTCTTTGAGTCTATTCGTTTCTCACGTCCTCGACTCGCGCTGCGTACGGCTCACTATAAGCAATAGACTAATCTCTTTTGAAGTCATCAGTACTCACGGCTGCGCCAATGTACATGACCGGCAGTCAGGCGCATGGCGTCGCGCGGGTGATTTGGACGCGCGCGCGGGTTTTCAGGTGCGGGTTGCGGCGCACACGACTTGTCTTTCATCCTCATCTTCGTCTTGCCATGGCGCAATGTACGTGCCGCACCCGTCTCCCTTCCTCCTTTACCTCCTCTTTCACGCCCCTCTCGTGTTGGTTCTCCCCCATCTTCTTCCTCCTTTCCTAGCTCTCACCGCGACCCCTCCTCGCGCCGTTTCAAATACACGGCACACATACCACCCTTTTCGCGCCGTACAGCCGCTGACAATTCTCAAGAGCGTTCTCCCGTTGTCGTGTAGTCTTGCGCCCGCGACGTCGCGGCTGCCACCGTTGCCCACTGTCTTTGACCCGCACAGAAAAGCGAGGCTCACTCGCCGTACGTAACCTCCTCTCTCTCGTACTTGCCCATATAAGCTCAATTTTGACGACATAGCCGCTTGGAACGATATGTACGCTTGACGTTGCGCGATGGCCCTCGTGCGGGTGGACCCATTCTCCATGTTCGAAGTGGTCGTGTCCGCCGGCGTCGCTAACAAGCATATATCGACTGTTGAGACCATTCCCTCTTAGGTACGCCTTACGGAGCCTGTCAGATTCTTTTCTTGCACGATATTGACGTCCATATAGGCTGGACAACATTGGTCTCTCACAGATCATCGCAACAGCCTCCCCCCATCTTCTACCGCAACAATAACTGGTGCCAAAGCCGGCAGCGGCGACAATTTGGGCGCAGCGGGAGGAGCTATCGATGTTCATATCTCCTCTCACATGCATACCTCTCCTCTCGCATGCATCGTCTTGACCTCTGTCCTTTCAGATGTTGAGCTTCCTCGCGTAGCCAAGCGCACTCAGGTGAAAAGCGGGACCGGAGAGTAGTATCCGGCTTTCACCGTCAGCTCTTGCAGATCCGGTCACTACTTATACCATATGACATCTCATGATCCGACTCCATCACAAGATATATGCTTCGTACCTGTGCGGCTTTTGTCAGCTTTGTAAGTAGCGTACCCTCTATCCACGAATTGACTTCGCTGAAAATAAGATTGGCCATCGTCGGATTGCTGTCTTGCTGCTCGTCTGCTATTCTTGTCGTGCTTTCGTTCGTGTGCTTGCCATTGCTATCGTTCTGCCCCCCGAGACGTGTCGGAATTTGGATCATGTATAAGGACTCCACTGTGTTTTTACGCGTTTTACGGGATTTGTGTATTTCAATCATTGCAATTCTAACACCGTTAATCACTCGAAATCCCGCGTCCCGCGGGGCCAACCTTGCTCGGGGGGTTTCACGCGCGACGGCCACTGCGTTTAGGACTAGAATGAGACGCGAAGTAGTGTTTGTATCACATACGGTCACGGCTCGCCGTACAAGTACACGTACGGAATGAACGGACCTGATGAAAGCTGCACAATCGAGGCGTTGTCGTGTAGTGCCTATGTAAACGTCGCGAATGGGGTCAGCGGATTCCGCCTACGCCCATCATCACCATCATATTCTTCCCTCCTTTCATCCCCACCACGCCTGAAGTCTGCGCGAAAGTCAGAGGCGCGTTCGACGGAGGAGCACAAAAGATATGCGACGACGAACCTGCTGTGTAGCGTGAACTTGCATTCCCTTCATGTACGGGTCGGCGCAAAGGAAGTGTTCCAACACATTGACGGCGTCGTCCATGGTTGCAACGCCGGACGATGGGTAATAAGGGGGCGGCAGGCACGCATCACATCGAGTTGTTGTTGGGCAGGCGATGCAGTTTCTGGACGCAGAGTTGATGTACGTCACGAGCGCGAACGGCCGGATGGCCTCGCAGGCCGCCACTCTTCCCGAGAGTTCGGACAAAGTATACAGGTGAAACTGCAAAGGTATGTCAATTACAACTGGAGTAATATTAGTCGTTGTCAGCCTCACCGGAACCCAGTCACCGCGATGCGAAACTCAGGAGAGTACACGAGCACCAATTCGGGCGAACGGCCGATATTGACACTGTATCCAGTGTCCGAATCAACCAACCACGCACACAGAGCGTGATTGAAACATACTCGCCGGAGCGATGCTCATATGCATGGCTCAGAACTGCTCCGAATACTCCGATTCCACTGGCAAGAGCAGGGCGCAGGCGCGTGCTTCAAACATGGGATGCCATCCTGTGGGCGGCAGTGAGCTCCCAGGTACCGTTTTTCGACCATCTGCAGTAGCTTCGAGGTGAATAGCGACATATACGATGGGTTGTGCTTGACTATGAACATGTATATCCTCTATCGGTGCAGACAAAAGTGAAAGACGGAAGCAGAGTCGAGGAGTCACCTGAAAGACGCTAAAGCACGGCTTCGTCCGCAAGTTTCCCGCGGTGGCAAACCGTGCCCTGGTGCCATTCCAGGGGGTGCAGGATCTTGCTCGTACCTCGCGAGGTAATGTCACAGTGAGAACAATATGACCCTGCGTAAGGCCACTGGGCAAACAGGCCCTCTTTTGCTGGCCGGCTCCCGACATATTCGCTGGCTGCGCCGTGTTTCCTGTACGCGGTCCATTTAATTCGGTCGGCATTTGACGGCTGGCCAGCAGGTTGTGCCGTAGGTGAGAACGCGAAGGGTCTTGTGTCGAGACTAGGTTGTGCCGCGATCAGCAGCATGTGCCACTTTTCACGGTTTCCGCGATGACGAGCCTCCAGGGTAGAAGCTTCGAGGCCCAGACAGCTAGTGCGAAAATGTTGGGGACTGTGGTTTAATCCGGTCGTTATCACGGTACACGGCGCATCTCCGGGTGATCCGGTACCAATTCCACCGCTTCGATAGAGATTGACTGATGACGAGCGCTACTTGCCCCTCGCCACGACGACGGCGACGTCGCACCCCTCTTACACCGCGATCTGTTCATACCGCGCTGGAGTTCCCGCCGGCGAAGCACATTCTGGCATAGCTGACGTTCACCGAGAAACTTTTGGCCTCTCAACAACATGGGTACCATGAAGTCCGCGAAGTTGCGCTTGCTTGCCCTAGAAACTATACAGGAGATACTGCGCATCCTCTTTGACATCGATCCTCCTGAAGTTGTTTTGCCGAGCGGGAAAATGGTCAAGCCGGGATATTACAACTCTACATGGTCTTTTCAACTGCTTAGACATGCTGCTCTTGCTTATCCCTCGCTATGGGCGAGGCATGCACTGGACGTTCCGATACAAGCAGCCATCGAAACGGCGATCAATCGCGCCCGGGACCTTCCCCTGCACATAGATTTATATGGGTGGACTCCATATCATAACACCATGGCATGGTCCTTTCCGCAAAGCATGGATATAATCAGCTGGCTGATGTCGAGACCGGAACTTGTACCCCGTGTACGGTACCTGGGGCTCGATGGGCGTTACGCCTCATGCTTCATGGGGTGAGCTCCTTTCAGATATCTTGGTTATGTGAGCGACGAGCGTTAAATCATTCAATCTGTAGGGCAGGACCAGAGGGACCAATCCCGGCTCAGCTATGTGCAAGAAACTGGTCCGGCCTCAAGCGCGTCTCCCTATATCACGTCTGCTTACCTGGACCTTTGTCGAATGCGCCGCTGGAAGTCTACAGACACAATGCGCACGGCTGTTCCAATGCTTGTGATATCGATCAGATCGTGCGCGGTGTGTTCTTGCGATGTGCAGAAACCCTCACCGAGATCGCGCTGGAATCTTGGCCGGGAACGCTCACCCCGCTATCATTACTTTCTCAAGAACCTCTCGAGACGCTCACGTTGGCGCACGTCAAGTCTTTCGTCGCGGGGACGTTAAGCATGGATCGTGCGCTATGGCTATTCGACAACGTGAAATTTAACCGCGACGCTCTTGAGCGGATGGAGTTGCACGTTGTGCATACTACATACAAGGTGGACTCGGTCGCCCAGCTTATGGGCGCTCTCAGTGAGTGTGCATTACGCTGAATGTTGCTCAAAAGATCTGAAGATAGTCAAAGATTGCCTTCCCTGCGACTGTGCTACTTTTCGTGTGAAGATATCAAAGAAATTCAACCCCTCCAACTTCAACTTGAGGGTGGAGGCCTGGCGTCGACGCATCACTCACGCCCGTAATCACCCGCCTCCACGGATGGGTATGCCTCCCGACTTCGACATCAACATACGATTCGACCTAGGTCAGGAATTCACCATCCCCTCAAACGAACGTTGGGAGTTTGCACTTGCACACATACTCCAGAACACTGCCTGCAAGGACTCAGACGTATTGTTTATCGATACGTCGCTCTGGCCACGAGTGCCCTACGAGACTAATTGGACAGTCCTGCTCGAAACGAGCGCGCGTTTCGTTGCGCCATTTAGTCAGGTCCATTCCTTCATACGAAGAGGCTTGGATAGGGAAGGTGATGCGGCTTTTGAAGAGGACGAATCAGAGACAGATGCTGGGGATGACAGTGAGGCCGGCGATGATCACAGCGACGTGGAGGACAGCGATGCCGACGCAGGCCATGCTATTGACAGCATTTGGAATGCGGACTGCCAATATCAGCAAGGGCCGTACAACGACGAAGACATGGATGTGCTAGAGGATATGACAGTTTTGTATATAGGATCTAGAGTCTCGTTGTAGCGGGATGTGTACGATAGATTATGTCTCCATTGTAGAGGGGTGAACTGCCCCAGAAAGAACGTTTGTTTCATCGAATGAACCCTAGGTTCGCGATAGGGCAGCTCAACGTCGCGCAGTAGCGCGGTTCGATTGTGGGAAGGATCACCCGACCCGAGGTTGCGCACGCGCGTAGCATTTCCGCGCCGCGCGTGCGCCCCGGCGGGTTCAGACCCGCCGTCACGACATGACATGCCGCTAATAATGTCGGCACACTGGTAACTGCCAACTTCGTCTCTCCGGTGCTAAGTAGAATGTGGACGGTCTACATTCAAGCTTTCAAGATCAGAGCTGGGTTGCGCTCTTTCCTTCATCGCGCTTGCAACTTCGGCTTTGATCTTCCCCGCCTGGACCCTTACCATGCGCCCATTCTTTCTACATGTCCATTCCCCCTCTTCCGTGTTTTACTGTACCAGGCTTGCCTTGTCTTCCTTCTTTGCCCTCGCTCCCGTGCTTGCCTCTCTCGGGCACTGATTTCGCGTTCAGCACGCTTCCGCTCACGCTCTCGGCCACGCATCATCTCCTCTTCGCTTCGTCTGCCCGCCCTTTAGCTTTTTCGGTTTAACTTTCCATTTGTTCACCCAGCTTAGAGCTTGAACAGGAAGCCATGAATCAAAGTTGGGAGGTAATTGATACGCCCTTTTCGGTTCCGAAAGCGTACCCGCGCCACAGTTCACTGCGCGCAACCGCCACCTTGCGATCGATGTACGAGCTTGGCTAGGTTTCCCGCCCCCAAAACCTGTCCGTGCACTGCCCAACCAGGGTTTGACGCGGCATGACGCAATAATTGATGCGGTCTCGATCTCAACTCAAGATGACCTTTCGCGTACATTAACAGGCGTCAAGTCAATCATATGGCGTCAAGTACGCGGCGAGTGTATGACCCGAACTTGGTAGAAGTACGGTCTTCATTCCAAGCATAGTCGAGCCCCCGTGCGCGAGGGCTGTGCAAGCAGTAAGTGCCTACATCGGGGTCAGCACACATGCGCGCGACGAACTGGACCCTTCCTCGAACTCTGTCGAGAATATAAGTCCCGCGCACAACACAGGCAATACAGAGCATCAGAACAAGCTAGGTTCAGGGTGATGCTGACAGAGTCTAGCGCTCTAGTCCCTAGTGCTTCCCCTTCACTTCCTAAAGCACACGCGTAGGTCACCCGAACACTCGCACACTCCGATAGCCGCTACGTCGTCTACACGACGGTGAGTTTGTCATCACGACTGGATAGCAACTAATCAAGTCCGCGCGAAGATTTTTACAGTTTGCCATAGCAGCCTGCACAGTGGCGCAAACGTAGGCATTTCCGTTAGAAATCAGCTTCATACAGATCGATACCCTCACAGGACTCATCGACCCCGGATTTTGAGAAGGATGTATATAATTCGAGATATCTGGGAGTACAAAACATGAGGTTCATGTGAAGCATAACGCGCCTGCAGCAACAGCAGCACCGAACAGCTTATTGACTGCATGTAGACGGGATGACGTGTTTGAACTTGACAACCTCAATAAGCCCATGCTTTAGGCGGAGGCGCCAGCGGTCGACAGCCTGTGAGACCGAGTCCGCGGGTTCAGATCTGAACCAGGCTGGTGGAATATGGCGATTTGTTGCCTTAGCACTGTCGCTGACAGGTATGTGTGTGAGAGAGCCATTTAAACAAGAAAGATATAGCTTACAGGCTCGGGAAGATGCCGGGTACATTGCCGATGATGACAATCGTCCACTCGACATCGAAGACAGTCAATCTTGCGCGATCAATGGCCCGGTTGACGTCCGCACTGGACGGATACCAGTCCTCTTCTTCATCAGGTGCAGGTGTCAGTCTATTCGGAGGATGCCACTTGCCTGTCGGTGCAAAGGTCACAGGCAGAAGCTTGGGTGTTTATCAGCATGATCGACGATCAACACGAGCGAAGCACACGTACCGGCCGCCAATGTTTACCCTTCATTTCAATGACGAAGCGGTCAAGATTGACCTGATCTGCCATGCTGATGCCCATATCCTTGATCAGACTGAGGACTTGCTAATACACGCCCCAGTAAGTACGAGCAGAGCAGTGTCGGCAGCGAAGAACCCACTATCCCTGCACGGCTATCACTGTCTTTGTCGGAGTCACCAGCCTTGAAACGAATGTTCGGGGTCGTCAGATAGCCCTTGCGATATGTTTCGGGTATGATGGTGGGCGGGGTGCTGGATGTGCTTGAAGGTGAACTTGGCGCGGAATTGTCCGGCGTACGAGGCTTCCGCGAAAAGAGAATTGGGGACTGGATGACTCTCTGAGTCTCCCAAGACATGGAATACCGCCAGCCAGTCCTAGAAGGGGTACGGAAGGCAGGCGGGGACTGAGAGGTGATGCTCAGGGGGAGAGTTTCTGTGGCCTCATCAAGCTCGCCCGTGTGCGAAGGCCGATCCGGCAACTCCGTGACAGAGACTTTATGACGCGAGGGTTTCTCCAGCCGGGATGCAACCTCCTGTGCGAGTGCAAAGTCAAAGGAGTAATCAACACTTCCTCCTGAAATTGGATCAAAGAGCAATCTGGCAGCTTCCACCCGGTCACTTGGTGGCCAGACTCGGGCGAGGAGCTTCTGCACCGCCGGGCCGATCGACGACTGATACTATTTAGAAGTCAGCTAAAGCAGAAGGGTATTGCCTGTCTACAAAGATGTACCAAGGCGTACTGTTCATTCCCCCCTACCCGGACTTCGTCTTTCTTGGCAAAATACGTGGACATCACGTCGGCAGAGGACTCGCATCGGTAAACTATCGCGTCGCGTGTGTTGAGGGAGTTGAGGATCGCTTGAGCGCTATCGCAGACATCAGCAGAATGGACATGTTCGACACTGATGTGCGCGCACAAACTGCACACCCCGGGGAACACGCCGATTATAACGACGCAAACACGCTGGCGGAAATCGGCCTCGAGTGTCAAAGGCTGCGTGGAGCCAGCCTCGAGTTGACAGTGCGCGATACGGCTGCAGCGGGATGACAGGGAAATCTGAGAAGCAGTGACCGTCGCCCGCATGATGGAGTCTATAGTCAAACCCGGTTGAACGCCGCATACTGTACTTTCGAACTACGCTGCACGTGACCGGATCAGTCTACGTCTTTAAGCCACGCGCCAACCACGCTCTCTCGAGTCCACGAATTGCCTCATACTTGGATGAGCGGCAGTCAACTGACCATGTGAGGTGCTAGCATAAGGCAACATAACTCGGCAGCTAGGCTCGTCTCATCAAGCACAGATCGATATTTCCCTGGGAATATATCAGGATGGAGTATTGAGGAATGAGATGCTCTACTGCATCTCTCCACCGTAGTTCGCAACGAGTCATGCACCCGACTCTGAGTCTGTCTGCGTCGTACCCGGCTCTCCAGCCGGCTACGCCAGCTTGGCTTATCGGTGCCACTCACACTCTCACTAAGTAACGCCTCACCGATCGCGCTGGGTACTTATCCGAGCCCAGAACACTTTCTCGTTCCTATGATGTCAGAATGCCGTAGCATAGCGACCAATGAGTAGCATTCACAAGATACAGAGGAAACAAGGAATCACAACGAGTCGGAGTAATAGTGGCATGATAGCGTAGCGTTACAGGTGTTACAAGCAGGTATATGATGAGAAAAGTAAAACAAAATCCGGCGCTGTAAACCGACGATGCCGCCCGGGGCAAGCCTATGACATCGCACAGGAACGTAGGCATTCGAAGGGGTGACTAGGTGACCGGTGACCGGTGACTGCTCAATGCCTCTTCCGCTTCGATGGACTTTTGCGCTGTGTCTTCCCTGAGTTGTCGGCTGCCGGTGCGTCCCCCGTGGCGGGCTCTCGGCGTTTCCGCTTCTTGCCCACTGGTTCTGGTGCCTTTGGGGGTGGCTCGGGCTCCGCCGCACTGCGCGCACGCGACCGAGTTTGATGTACAACAGGAGCCGTTTGCACTGGCTTGCGAGCGACAGTACGCTTGGCCGGAATTTGCTTGTTGCGGGCAAGGTCGCCAGGGTCCAAAGTGTCATTTGGAAGGCGGATCGCTTCGGGGTCCTGCATATGGCCTGCATCGGCAACGGGCCCTGCACCTCCTGTAGAGGGGGTCTCGAGTGAATCTTCGTCCTCTGCTCCCGTCGCAAAACAGTCACCATCACCCTCGGTATTGTTCTGCGCCACCGAATCCGCGGGGCTGTTGGTGGCACTCGAGCGATTATCCAGACAGTCATCAGGAGTTGCGTCGGTATCATGGACGTTCTTAGCTCTTCCGTCATGAACAGCATGTTCGGTCGAAGCGCCCAACGCGACGCTTTCCTCATCTTCGCGCACCTCCGCGTGATCGGGTGACTGGGCCGTGTGGAAAGGTGGAGGGAATACATCGAGGCCGAGACTTCCGGAACATCCATTGTTGGCGTTTACCCGGACGTCACAGTCTTTTCCGGGGGGTATATCTAATACCAGTTAACTTGAGTATAACGAGAATGTGACGAGAATGATCTCCCATACCTTGGATCCGCGAGTCACTATTCCCAGGCAAAGTTGGTTGGGCAAGTGGATTGAGCACACCTTGACTCCCTTGCCAGTTGCCCTCCCTCTGAAGATTGGCGTCCATCTGAGTCGAGAACGAGCCCGGAAGGATCATCAGCGGTACATGAACATACTGCTGCAACAGTGACGCCGTCGTCGTCGGCGAGCCATTGCTGTTTGCAGTGAATGGCGCCATAGTAGTCGGGGGCAGCGGACTCGGGATCGCGTTGTGAACGACAGCAAGTGTGTCCTGGTTCGGAAGAATGGGCGGCAACGTGTGGGCTACAGGTGACGTTGGGATAGTGATGTTCTCCACACTACGTTCATATGAAGATGGTACGGGGAAGACACCCGGGTGCGAGGGGGGCTCGGATCGGCCAGGCGGGTCATTGATGATATCCCCACTTGACGCCGGAGCGTCAATTGCAACAACTTGGGAGTCCTCGGGGACCCTGTCTGCTCCTGCATCGAGCATAAACGAAGTTGATCTATCCGCGTCTGGCGCTCTGTCTGACGTCGAGACGGCGCTGGAATGAGTTGTCTGCTGCAGTGGGGGAGAACCCAATGTAGACGTCTCTGAGGGCACGGCGACCTCCATCCCTGCCGTACCCGCTGGTTGCTTATCAGACTCGGGAAATGACGCCTTTGAATGACCATCGCGTGCCAGCTCAAGAGGGCCGACGTTGTCAGAGGCTGGAGGGGGGACGGAAGGCTTCTCGGCGGTCGTGAGCTTCGGTGATTCAGGATCACACCGAGACTTGGACTCGGCCGTCTCGACAGGAGGTTCATTGACGCGTCTAGCGTCAGCAACAGCTATGCCCCCGGTCGCAGATTTCAGGCCCGAAGCCGATCCTTGCGCACCAGACTCGCCGAGCTCATGAGGTACAGTCGCTGTCGTGCTGTTTGCGTCGAGCTCCATCAAGGATCCATTCCCTCCGTGCTGTAGCCATGTGTCTTGTCCGGCCCAGTGAGAAGGATCAAACCCAGGGAAAGACTCTGCGCCATACAAAGGATTCCATGTGTCCAGGCGTTGATGCACGCGCTGAAGCTCAGAGAGTAGGTTGTCAAGAATGGTTTGCTGCGCCAACTGATTCTCGCGAATGAGCGTCACAGTCGACCGCAATGCCGGGAGATCTTCTGTAATATGTGCGTGTCAGTCTTGCAGCGGTTTGTGTGAAGTACAGACGTACCAATCTTATCATCCAAAGGTGCAGCGTTCTCCACTTGACTCACAGGTACCCTCTGCGACCCTGCCTCCACCTCCACCTCCACCTCCTCTAGATCTCCGGTCGCTGCGTGTAGCTCCTGCTCTTCTTCTGGCACGAAGCCATCCACCATCTCTGTCTTGACGCCATTCGCCTCGTCGTCGTCTTCGTCGTCTTCGACGTCGGATGCCGTGACCGGCACCGGATCATCTGCGTTGATGGGATTTGTTACTGAAGAGCCCTTTTTCGATGGCTTACGGATCGCGTCCGGATTGCGCGTGTTGTACTGAGGGTAATCACGAACATAAGCGTCATGACTTGCGTATATTTCCGGGGCGTTGGCGAAAAATTCGGTTGCCTCATCGCTGATGTTGTTCTCGGTCAGCTTTGCGAAGTCCTTGTCGAGTACGGCGCCTGAAGAGTAAACGGTTAGATGACTGGAAGCCGTAGCCGCCGGGCGAACCGCGCGAATAGACGTCATTTCTCACCGAACTCGTCAAGCCATTGCGGCCACGCCAGAAGCTTCTTCTTCTCCAAGAGGTCCTTGAAGAGCTTGACACGACACTTCATAGACGGCACACGGAGCGCGGGTTTCTCATTGAAGTCAGGGTGATCGGCGTAAAGAAAGCGTATGTCGGTCCCGAGCGCAACTCGTATGCGCTGCTTGTTCGGTGCTGATGCGGAGCACTTTCCTCGACGGGTGACATAGCAATTATGGCATGTGGCCGCTATCCATCTGCCGGCGATGTCCTTCTGTGGACGATAGACACACACATAGCCTAACTTGTGGCATTCTTGGCAGGGCGACTATACTCAATTTATTAGATGAATGCGATTGAATCCAAATTGCAACTAGCTAACGCACGATGTTCACAGCGAGATCGACGCAATTCATCCCGTGAAACTCGGGTTGTTGGATGATGGAGAAGTTATCGACGGTCTCAGCCTCGAGTGCCTTGTATGCGTGGCGGTCGTGATGCAAACGAATGCCTGGCAAACGCCATCCCGACTATGCACTCGGATTAGACTCGTTCAAGACAACGTTCAAACGTCCTTACCTGTCCCGTCGCCGAAGGCGCCGTTGCCTTCTTCTGAATCGCAGGCTTTTTTTGCCGGGTATCAGGATCTTCAACACCCGGCACCTCGCGCCCGTCAGCCGGCGCCTTTCCTCTCCCATTCACTCCCATCTGCCCCTGAGATCCCGATTTCGATTTCAGTCCGCCCTGCTTGCGGTCGCCATCATCAGGGAAGGCCTTGGCCTCAAGTAAGGTTGTGTCTTCGTCACCACCTTTTCCACCGTCGTTGAAACTGGAAGCACCAGTGACAGCAGAACGCACTACAGGCCGCACGTCTTCGATTTGGACAGTAGTCATGTTTTCGGGTGCTGGTTCAGGCTGGAGCCAGTTAAAGTTGGGGTAGGTGGGAGGCGCTGACATGACAGGATCGCTACGGATGATTCGAGTCGGCGCCTGGGTATCTTCGGCAGTGGTGGCGATATCGGCATAGTCTGTGGGCGGTAGGGCAACTACTCACGTACTGTCAGACATGACGAGTATTATACATGCACGAAGACATGCGTACCAAGCTCAGACCACCAGGCGCCATCTTTGCTATCCCAGACTGCGATATCATCCCAGGCCTGCCCATCCACGCCCTCCAGAGCGGCTGCTACATGGGGTACTATTGATGCTTTGTCAGGCTCGCCGCTGTTACCGAACTTCGAATACAAAGTGTCCAGCGTGACTCGGAGGCCTAAGTGAGGTATTCCGTCCAAAAGCCCCATGCACTGAGAAAGTGTGAGCATGATCACACGATGAAGGAAACAAGAAGAAGTACCGCTTCTTGGATCATCATCTGGTATCCGATACAGGCAGTCTCAGGGTTGCGCACGACGCTGAGGGCGCGCAGAGCCATCATAGTGCGTCGCATACACATGTCGGTTTTCTCGGGCCCTGACTTGCCTCTATAGAGACGCTCCAGCTCATACTGATGATTCGCGTGGGCGCGAAGCAAGGCACGCCACACGAAGCTCATCAAAACAAGTGGTTAAGATAAAGGAAATCGCAGTGACGACGAGCGGGGATGGTGGTGGTGCAATGCAAAGAGGCGCTGAAGTCGCATAAGCGACCGAAGTGAACATAGTGCAGCACGCGGTGATCGCAAAATCACGCGTCGCGGAGCAGCGTCAAGCCGGCGTCACTAGACTCCAATTGTCGCGCTTGGAAACGAATCAGCGCTCAGCTCTTGCGCAACAATCGGGTACCGTCATGGCATAGATCTTGTCGAGTACTCCCACGATCCGATCACCTGCCGGGCAAAAGGTCCGAGAGAAACCATCAGCGTATAGCCACGCCGCTTCCAGAGCCAGGCAGTGGAACGAACCGCCAGACGAGGTTTGCTGGAGACCCAATATC